CCAGTGAGCCCACGATGATGAAGTCCACGAAGACGGAGCCCACGATGAGGAAGGGCACGTAGATGGGCACTGCAAAGGGAAATGAGAGCGTTGGCGATGGGGACACACGACATGGACCCGCCGGCTCCGCCACCCCGCGCCAGGAGGACACCCAGAGCTGCACCCGGCGCCGCGCGCCCAAGGGGGCTGCCGAAACCCACAGCTTGGCAAAGCAGCCTCGGAGGCGTCAGCAGCTACCGAGGCCTCCGTGGGGAACGTGCGATGACATTCCCGGGATGCGCCACACAACGTGCCCGGGCTTCCTCGCTCCCCTCACACCCCAGCAGCTGCCTGGAAAGCTCCTCAGGGCTCCACTGGAACCAAGAGCCCGGGCAGTACCGGGGCCCGTTCCCCACTCACGGAGAGCAGCCCGCAAATCCCCGCTCAACCACTGAGCAAAACGCCCCGTATTAAGAGCTGCAACGGGGGTGAGATGTCCGGAATCAGGATCCCTGACTGCGCTCGGGATTTACGCGCCTTGGTTATTTATGCGCTTCAGTTATTAACTGGGAGGCCACATCTGGCTCCTTCCCTAATTTTCATGCCCCGCAGCAGCCCCGCGCTGGCAGCCGCGGCAGGTGCGCGCACTTGCTGCGCTCCGAACGCTTCGAAGGGAGCGAATCCGCCCCTTCAGGGCTACTCGCGGCGCCCAGCAGCCGATGAGGCTCGGCATGAACAGCGGGTCAATCGCCCGGGTTTATCCTTGAAATTCACTCTTGTAAAAACCACCCTGAAGTGGCGCTATCTGAGCTCAAAGAACGATCACAGCGGGGACTGCCTGGGTGTCACCTCAAAATGTTGTTACCTCTCTCCCCAGCCCACACCTTTTGCACCATTTTTTCCTCTCATCCCCCCCTCCCTCTTTCTTTTGTAGTTTAACACTAACCGGGGCAGGCAGGGCTGCGCGCGCCGCTCCGCGGCATCCCCCGCGGCACAGCGAGCCCCGCCGGGCTTCCCGGGGACCG